TTATACTATTCCAGCAAAGCATTCAACATCCAACACCAGGTCGTTCCAAAACGCATTGCTTTGCATCAAATTACGCAATATGGTTTCGTTGGTCAGGTTAACACTAGTCCCAGCTAACTCGGAAGTAGGTTTCATACCCAAGTTGGGCGTCACGGTACCGCTATTATAGTAATTGTAACCTTGGTAGCCCTGTGAGTAGACGCCCGAATTGGAATTGTTCGAATCTGCCGCCGACGTAACGGCAACAGTAGATAAAATATCCAACAACGACGGCGACGCCAGGGATGACGAAGACAGCGAAGGGGAGGACAACAAGGATGATGAAGATGACGGACGGCGTGAAGCTGATTCATTGTCACTTTCACTATCGTAATTTGACCTTCTCTGTTGTTGTTGGTTTTGCCAAAAGGCCAGCATTCTTATTACAAATAACAGCGCTAAGGGGACGGAGGCTAATGATGAGCCACCACGCGATACCATGTCGTCCAATTTGGACTCTAATACAGACATACCCATTACAGGGGGTGCTCCCATTGATGAAGAAGTTCCCAATAGCTGTAATTTGGTTACCATGGCTAGGGCAACGCCAAGGCGGGATAGTTGGAAATAGGGTATTGTGACCAATTCGTCAGCGGTGAGACCCGAAATCAAAGCGAGGGACTGGGCGCTGGCGTCATTAAGCCATGACATGGCACGGGCACTAGAAGCATCCATATCGCCAAGTCGGGAACACAAGGCATACTCAGAAAAGGGGCATCTTTCGTCAGGATAAAATACATAAATGCTATTTTCATATAGGGCAATGATGAGTGACCAGTGGATAGTTTCAAGAGATTTATCATTAAAATGACTAACCTCCCTATGGAGAGACTGGATACGTTGATGGAAATAGCTCACCAGCTCTTGAGTGTGAGGCGCCGAAAAATCTAGGTTCTTAGCAAACGAAGATTTGATATCCTGTTGCAAGTGCATCATTCTAGCCATTTTGGCCAGCCTGATTTCACGAACAGTACCAGCCTCCAATCCCCGACAGCATTCGTCAAGATAAGCATCCCATTGGACGGAATTTGAATTAGGGCCCATACTAACATTGGCGATATAAACCACCAGCCACAACTTGCGGCAGGCATCGGACTGTGCATCAGCGACCCCGTGAGGTTTTACGAGTCTTTCGTAAGCTGTGCTTCGCTTTTGGCACCCTCTACCCCCGTCAATACCCAATTGGCGCGCGAGAGTGACAGCAGTATAGTTGAGCAGGCCCAACTTTTGGGACGGGTAAAGGTCAATACCAGAGTACCAGACCCATAATAGAGTCACGCACTGTAGTAGTTCTAATGATATCATAGTGCCTAGGGAAACCTGGCCGAGGACGGTTTTGTAGCATTCGGCGAGAAGGATCAGGCTCGTGTTTTGGAAGGTAGAATCGCTTTTAAGCGCCACGGATGCCGTGGCCATGATGGTTAAAAAGAGGTAGGGGTGGCTGATCCTTAATTTATCGACAGTGGAGCCATCAGGAAGGGATACGACAGTGAATTTCTCGCAGAGGATATGGCGATAGGTATCGAGACGAATTTGGGCCTCGGGTTGAGAGATAAGTCCGCGGGAGACCACGTCGTTGGAGATGGATAATTTGGCCGAGTTGAACTGAGTGGTCAACTGGGTGGAAGCCGGGCCCTTGGAAGGGGCATCTAAAATGGCTAAACGTTCCTCTGACACCGAGATTAGTTTATCCCAAGTAGCCTTGACCCTCTGTCGGAGGGGCAAATCGTGAGCAGGCACAAAGGCGGTGGTTTTGCTAGGGGCCGATGTGCTGCCCAGGGGGAACAGGGGTACGCCTTGGTCTAGGCTGACGCGGCTGGTTTTGCGGTCACCGCCAGAGTGGGGGGATACGGGCTCACGGTCCAGGGATAAGACCGAGGACACGGAGGTTGCTGTAGAGGAACGACGACGGTCAGTAGCGTAACTGCCATCGTAGCCGTAGTGACTGTCGGGGCTGCTCCCGTTAGTGCTGGCGGCCCTGGACCAACAAGGGGTGGGGTGGAAAAAAGCCGAAGTGGGACCATTCAACGACAGCCGTCCTGTAGGGTCGATGATGGATGGGGTGCGCGAGGAAAGGGTGCGCGAGGGTGCATAGGCTGGCTCGTCTTTGAGAGTGTGGTGATCGGCCGACTCGATTTTGACGGGCACCGAGAGGTCTTTGTCGTTTTCTATTTCGTTGTCGGAGGAGGTGGAGCTGGTACTGCTGACGCTGCAGCGCGGCGATATGGAGGGCAGGATACGGCGGTACTGGGTGGTGTATTCGTTAGAGTATGAGGGGGGTGTAGTGCACTGGGGTGGCGTGGGCGGTGTGACGGTAGGGTTGGCGGTAAGAACAGTGGAATTTTTTCTGGCGGCGGTCTCGCCGGAGAGGGCAGCGGACTTGGCGCTGTTGGTGGTCTTTAGCGCGGCCTGGAGGACTTCTAATTTCTTTTCTAGCTCGGCGACTCTGCTATGTATAGTGTTAGTAGTGTGAGGGGGGTAGCTTAGAGAATAGAGTGGAATACATACGTATCGGTGCGTCGTTTGCGTTTACGGGGTCCTAGCTTGAATTCGCATTCTTTCTGGGATTTGGCGCAGCGGGTACAGGGCTTGAGCGGGTCGGAGGCGTCGAGAGGGATACAGCGGACCTTTAGCGTGCGACAGTGTTCGCAGGCGCGCGAGCGACGGGTGTAGACGGAAGATGTGGATGGTGTGGAGGCGGGGGCGGCCGTGGGCGGGTAGTCGTGGACGGGCCGCGATACCGACGGTTTGACGGCGAGGGGCAGCTGGCGGTTAGCGGCGATCATAGAGAATGAGAGACGGTGAGATGGAGACGGTGAGATAGGGATGGTGAGATGGTTAGAAGGCGATGGTTAGAAGGCGATGGTTAGAAGGCGATGGTTAGAAGGCGATGGCGATTAAAAAGCCTTTGCGGGCAAGACAATAAAAGAGGGGTAGGATCGATAAAAGCCCGTAGCGATACCAAAGGATTGAATGGATAGCGTAGATAGCAGAGCAATAGCAGGGACGTATAGGCCTATAGACATATATATATATATATATAAATAAATAAATAAATAAAGAAAATAAATAAATAAATAAAATAAAAAAAGAAAGTCTACAGATGATATTTATTATTATCATTTGTCTACGACACATGTATACGACGATATGTAAAAAACGTGTAATATGTATATATCTCCTTCATTCGTTCATCGTACTGCTCAAAATCCTCGAATTCTCACAATGGAGGGGTTTCGCCACCTGATGGTTATTGGTGCTTTAAACGGACTAGTTCGTGCAGAAACCGGATCATATTATGTGGGTTTTGCGTGTCCCCTCAAGACTCGGTGGGGATTTCTTATCTTGGTTGATTATCGGTTGTTGGGGTTTTCATTTTTTCATTTTTTCATTTTTTTTTTTTTTGGAATTGGTGTTTTTTCATTCTAGTAGAGGGTTTGTTTGGGTTATTTGTATTGTTTTGATCTCTATTGTTTTGATCTCTATTTCCTTAACTTTAGTCTAGAACACTGGCTAGACGGTTTTGACAGTATGTCAATTCTACCCTGTATAAGTTTTGGTTTTTGGTTTTTGGTTTTTAGTTTTTAGTTTTAGTTTTAGTTTTAGTTTTTAGTTTGTCTCTTTGTCTCTTTGTCTGTTTGTCTTTTGTTATTTTTTATTTTTTAATTACGCTTATCTCTACCCGTCGTACGTTATACGGCCCTCCTCACGGCTCGTACAAGCCCCGTCAGTGGCGACGGATCTCCGCTACGCCCAAATCGAGTCAACGACCCCAACTAAGCCAAACTATCCGGTTACTGCTACCCCCGTCGTCATGGCCGTCGTCATGGCCGTCGCCGCCACCGCCACCGCTGCCGTCCCCGTCACCATCCTCGTCTTCGTCACATACCAAATGGCGCTACATTATTATTTTTTTCCCAATGGTTCCTTGTTTCATATATCCCACTCCCATAATCAAGTGGCATGTCCACCCCAGCCGCGCGCCCCTCGAGGGGCCCGTCCCTGTGAAGAACAAACACCCCGACTGGCGGTCCTGGCCTTCCATCGGATAATCCCTCCTAGCCGCCGCATGACGTCCGCCCCCTCCGGAACTTAGTATCGACCGGCCGGCTCCTCCCAACGGCCAGCTGACTCAGCTGTCACGTCAGCAGGTCACGCGAGTTTTCCGTCAGCGTGCGACGCCCGACGCGCGATGCGTCACGGCGAACCTCGGCTGGTCGGCTAAACTAAACGCCGGGCGCGGGTCTGGCGTCTCTGCAGGTCACATGCTCGCCAGCCTGTCGGAGCGCCGTGGCCACCTCATCGCAGTACCCGGCTGCTAATGTTTAATTCCGCGTTAGAGTGGACTGTCTTTGTCTGTCAGGTCATCTGTCAGGTCATCACCTCTCAATGGGCCAAAAACTCAGTCGCCGAACGAGGTCCTGAAGTGGTTTGGATGTACAAAAAAAAAAAAAAAAAAAAACCATTTGGAAGACCGGATCTTGTAGTTTTTTTTCTAGTAATTTCTCCTTTTCTAATAACCTACTCTATCTGCTTCTGTTGATTATACTCTCATCTTGTCTAAAAGTGTTCCCCTTTACCATTCATTCTCAAGAAAAATGTCCCGTACCTTGGGTTTGGTCTTCTCATTTCCGGAATATGTTCCCCAATATCTCGGAATCGCTCAACAAATGCCAACCAAAAATAATCACCAGACGGAATATATGACCTTCAAACATTAAATAATTATTTACTTCTCCTTGCCTAATCCTATGTCCGACTCGTTCCCACTAATATCGTACCTTAAAATAAGCCACGCTCCCTGAGCTAATATCGCATGTTCCCAAGCCCCTGTGCGTAAACGCCGTGTAACTGCATTATCCTATGTTACCTGAGGAAATAACCAACTTATCACCCAATTAGTGGCTAGTCTGCCACTTTTTCCCTCTATATATGTCTAAATTTTTTCCATGCTATACCAAGCCTAGCTAGCTCAATCGGTAGAGCGTGTGACTCTTAATCTCTCGAAGTAGAATTAAAGCTATCACAAGGTTGGGGGTTCGACCCCCCCGTTGGGCTGTTTTTTTCCATTTTGATCTGGAATATTCTTACTAAATTTTCGCTCCAAAACATTTTTTCTCATCTGGTCGTCCTCAGGGTCTTGAATCGTGATTGCCACTTTTAATTGTATTTTTTTATCTCTGTTTTATTGGTTTCTCAGGCATGTAGTGTTTTGTTTCGTGTTTGCTTACCAAAAACTAAATTTTTTAAACGTTTTATTAAATAAAGAACTTAACACAACCCCTGATCTTTTCTCCACTAAAAATGCACTGCAACACTTCTGTGAGACTGCCGATATGGTCACTAACAAGCTCTAATTCAATCACCTACCTGAACTATATTTAAAACCACGCTAACTTATTTACTAATTTAGTATGAAGGTATTAATTACCCTTCTACTTTTGTCACCCGAGACACGTTTGAGGTTAGCTGGCGCTTTACATATAATGTATTCCGCATTTACCAGTAAAGTACATATCCTGGAGCTGGAGACTACATGAGCAAGTTACCTGCAACTAAAAAGTGAGGTGAGTAGCTACATTGATTCTAAAAAACGTACTCTACTGGAAAGTAAGGTGTGTAGATACATAATTCTATAAAGTACTCTGCTATAAACTAGGCGATCGATCGGAAGCCAAATACAATTCTGACCTTGCTATTTAAGTGAAACAATTTTAAATAGTGTTTGTTTCTCATACTTGTATAAAAGACTCTATTCTCTGTATGTTCAACCCGGCCCCAACATCAGCCATGATCTTTCAGTCTTGCATTTCTGAGATTTTGATATTTGGTTATAGTGTTGACAAAGAGATAAACTGAGCGGCCGAGAGAGTGTAAAAAACTTGTAATCACCCACCGAGTTTTTATGAAAACTTAGAAATTATCAATAATCTACTTTAGTAAAATTCGTATGATATTTTTATCTCATTATAGTTAACATAATTTTATTACCTCTGTCTGCGGCCATATCCACTGGAAAGCACGATTTCCCGTCCGATCAATCATAGTTAAGCCAGTGAGAGCCTTCATAAGTACTACGGTGGGAGACCACGTGGGAACATAAGGTGCTGCAGTCCTTTTTTGTAAAAACATGTTGAAATCATTTATACCAAACAAAGATATTTTTTCGCTTTAATTTCCATATTAGGATACCAGTAACAAATTTTATGTACTTTAATATACAATAATAAAAAAATGAAGCGACAACGAGTAATATCTTTTGCTGGGCTCTACGGCCGACTTACTTTCTCAAGTGTTAGATTGGGCATTAACAATTCTCAGATAAACACCAAACGCTCCTATTTAATAGAAAGCTTAAGTGTAAAGCGTTAACATAAAAAAATATCGCCTGATAAGTTTTTACCAATATACAAATTTGATACTTAATTTGCAAATGTGAAAAATTTTAGTAAATAAATAAATATATATATATCTAGATGTATATATGGGATATAGTTTTTTTGTTCTGTTTTCAACGAGGTACCATAGAAAGATGACGTTTAGCCGCAGGTAAAGAAGAATCTTCCCTACGTATGCTACGACCACCACTGAGGTTTGCTTGATTATTGAGATGCATGGGTTGAAAGGGACGCTTAGTGCCGGCCATCGCCACCGGCGGCTTCTTAGTGGTCCGGGTGTGTCCATTAGAAAGAGTGTACTTGGAAGATATATTGAATTTAGCCAGAAGTTGGGGATCATTGACAGGCATAACTTCGTCAATACCATTGAGTTGACGGCGAGTGATAAAGTCTCCGGGGTTCACCAACGAAACTCGAAATCCTAAAAACACATTATTGTTATGCTGGTCAAAAAATAAAAAGACCTCGTCACCGTCTTGTAGTAGCACTTTATTACCTTTTCCAATGGCCACGCGGTTAACCCAGCACCTATTGGCGGCGTTATCAAATAACCAGACTTGCTCCCTATCAGTATGGGGATAGGGTCCTATGCTCCGGTGGATTAAACAGTGGATTTTGGATACCCTGCCATCGGGTACCATGACGTTGTTAGCTTCACTACGGCCAAACGAAAACTCACCGTGATTAATGTACACGTCCTTAAAGGGCATACTGCTTTTTAGGGTTTGAAGCACCATATACGTGCCATCTGGGTACTGAACTTCACCGTAATCATCAAAATCACGCACACCCGAGGTGAGAGCCAAAGCTGACATGGGCACTGAAGGGCTATTGGCACTTGAATAGTTCAAATGACCACTATTGGATGACGGTAAAGCTCCCACACTGTTTTCGACTTTAATCAATGGTATATAGGGATCGTGGTCGGCGGCGGCGCTAGCGCGGACTCGTTCCTGTCGCTGTGAACATTCCAGTTCGGCCGCATGCTTTACTTCATCATTATCGTGGTCCGACTCACACCCAGGTTTATCGTCAGTACTCTCCGGATGATTGAATTCTCCTTCTGATACAATATCTAAACTGTCAAAGGTCGATGGACGCGTGAATTTAATAATAGGTTTGACGGGGGTCTCGGCGGCAGTATTTGCCGTTTGATCGGCCGGAGGATTAGCAACATGTTCGGGTGTATTCTGGGCCTCTAATGAATGCTCTGATATTACTTGAGGTTCTGCGGCAGATGTTGATTTAGCTTGTGATTCAACCATGGAGTCGGTAGCGAAATCTGTTGTTAGCCAACTCAACTGAAGCGCTTGCGTGGCACTAGGCCGAGTCATCGGATCAATTTGAAGCAAGGCCTTAATAAAGTCTTGTCCTTGCTGAGATACTCCAAACTTATCCAAGGGGCTCTGATGATATTGACCTAATTTAATGGAATTGTAGAGGTGTTCTTGCGTAGTACCGTCAAAGGGCAAATATCCCGTCAAAATCACGTAGGCTAGGCAACCGATACTCCACATGTCTACGCGACTAGAGTAGGTTGCATTAGGACCAGACTTATTTTTACCAGCAATAACCTCTGGTGCAAGATAGGCTAGCGTGCCGCAAAATGTTTTGAGAAATGTGCCTGCTTCAGATATTTTGGCCAGGCCAAAATCTGTGACCTTTACAATAACGGGGTCATCCTGTGCAATAAGAATATTATCGGGTTTAATGTCACGATGGGAGATACCTAATCCATGGACGTATTCAACAGAATTCAGCACTTGGAGAATAATTTCCCGCGATGCCGCCTCAGGGATAGGACCTTGATTAGTCACAAAGTCCATGAGATCGCCCCCCGTAACATAGTCCATTACTAAGTAATAATGCCTATCGTCTTCATAGAAATCCTTTAGGGCGACTACGCCAGGGTGCTGGAGTTGTTTGAGAATGGCAATCTCCCGCTCTACGGCAATACCCGATACTACTTTACGCTTGGATATCATTTTGACTGCAAATGCTTCCCCTGTGGTACGGTGAATAGCCTTTTTCACAGTAGCAAAAGCACCTTGACCTAGTATAGTATCATCGCGAATATCGTATACCCCACGAATACCTTCATCTTGGCCTACGCCATCCGTATCGCTAGACTGAATGCCATTATTGGGGATACTAACAATGAAACGGACCTCGTCTTCAGCCACGCCAACACCGAGTGCAATCTCATCACCTTGAACTAGCAAATAACCTTTATTCTTTAAAATCCGTGTGTTATTAACAAAGGTACCGTTAGTTGATTTATCCATGATGAGTAGACTGGCTGGTGAGTCGCCATTTGGTTTGGACGTTGCCGCGCTCCATATGGTGAAATGGTGACTACTAATTCGACGTGAATTTCCTAACGTAAAATCCATTGCTGCTGCCCGCCCAAACGTCCATTCTCGCTTTTCGGGCGTGATAGAGTTAGGGGCAGATGTCGTTAATTGGAAGGACGTAAATTGGCGTGTAGTGCAAATTAGCGAACACACTACCCGAGGGGCTCCTTCCGACAGCCTTTGATTGAGAGGCTGAGTAGGATTCTCTTGTGTCGCTGGCTCATCCATTCTAAAAATGCTTAGAAGTGTAGTCTATTGAGGAAGATGAAGTGTTGGTAGCTATTGTTGATGTTGATCTGGGCAATAGTGGTGCATGAGATTGGGACAATGTCAATCAAGGGAGTTAGGCACAACTTGAAGGGTGTAAACAATGTTATCGGCTTTTCTAAAAAAGTACATGTATATAAAAGAGAAGATTTATATCTATAATTTTATAAGGGAAAGAAGAATATCGTTTTAAATATATTAATTTTTTCAAGTTTTTTACTTATTTTTTTTGACATTTATCTACCGGTAAAATACACATTCATTTGTTGTTTGGCAAGTTACTGAGTAGACGAACAAAACGGCATGAATTCGAACTAAAAATTGGAAAACTAAAATCAATTTGTAAGAATCATATCGAAAGGAAAACAATTCAGTTACATTTATAAATTTATTTTTAGAAAAGTAATGTTATCTTTCATCTACTATCTTATATCTAGTATAAATATTTATATATCTCTAAGATCTTATGGGGAGACGGGCTTTAGCTGATATAACTTCATAAATCCTGGCTTTAGTATTTTACCATGCTACATACCCCCCAGATTGAAAAACCAGCTATGATCCAATTAACTCTCAAAACCCAAAAGACTAAATAACAATTCGCAATTTTTAATCCCGATGATTTGATCAACTCCATATTTGGGCAAAAACGTTTGAACCGAGTTTAACCTGATGTGAAAACCTTCAATATTTCGATAGGGATCAACTTAACGACAACCTAACGAACAAGCAAAAGCGGCTAACAATTAAAGGATATCAAGGTGCGTGGCCGTAAATCATGAAAAAATAATATAGACCTTGTAAGATTTTGAAGTTATCACCAATCAAACTATGATCTGGAAAATTCAAACCAAGCCAATATACAATAAATCATCAGCTCAATTCAGGGGTATACAAGAGAGCCGATTGACACTCTGATAATTATCTTCGAAGATATATTATTAGAGAAATTTGAAAAAAAACAGCTAACTTTCAACTGTCAAAACCATATTTTCTTGACTTAAGATAAGAGGTAATGGTTGGTCACTCAGTCATTATT